CCGCCCCGGCCCCCCCCCCCCCGCTGATATGCATTCGCAGATCCCCCTGGTGGCACATGCGCAAAAACGACCGCACATGCGCAAAGGCGTCTCTCCTCCGGCTCACATCGCCTTCTCACACGACATTCAACCCCGACGCCACGCTGGCCCTCATCGAGCACACCAATGAAAAGGAGCGCCAGCTGAAAGAGGGGGTCAGCTACGTCGACTGCTTCAGGGGCGTGGACCTGCGTCGCTCCGAAATCGTCATCGGCATCTGGCTCGTGCAAACGCTCGGCGGGCAGAAGCTCATGGGCTACTTCTCCTACTTCCTCACGCAGGCGGGCATGGACCCCAGAAACAGCTTCTCGCTGTCCATGGGCCAGTATGCGCTGGGCATGGTGGGCACGGCCGGATCCTGGCTCCTGATGAGCCGTGTTGGTCGGCGCAGGATTCACTTTGGCGGCTTGTGCTGCCAGTTTGTGCTTCTCATCGTCGTGGGCGGTCTGTCCTTTTCGACGGACAATGGCTCGGTCTGGGCGATAGGCGCGATGCTCATCATCTTCACGTTTGTGTACGACTTTACCGTGGGCCCGGTGACGTATTCGCTCGTTTCTGAGCTGTCGAGCACGCGGCTCAAGAGCAAGACGATTGTGCTGGCGCGAGCCGCGTACAACGCGAGCAACATCTTTGTCAACGTCATGACGAATTATCAGCTGAGTTCGACGGCGTGGAACTGGGGTGCTAGGACGGCGTTTTTCTGGGCCGGCAGCTGTCTGCTTTCCGTGGTTTGGGTCTTTTTCCGATTGCCCGAGCCCAAGGGACGGACGTATGCTGAGCTGGATGAGCTGTTTGAGAAGCGCGTGCCGGCGCGCAAGTTTGCAAAGACGCACGTTGACCCGTATGACGGTGGGGAGAAGCACCATGTGTACATGTATGTATGTAGAGACACGATTTTTTTTTTTTTGTCGAGAGTACTTTAGCATCGTATCAACATTTGTCTCCCGTCTCATCTCGAGTACATCTCGACTCTCATATTGGTGACTCGTCAACTCGCCGACTTGGCACCGCCTGGTTCTGCAATGGACTGTGTAAAGCCTGCTCAACGTGTCTCGCCAACAAGCCGTCATAGACGTCCTTTCCGCCGGGCAGCTGCACCACCAAGCCGCGTATGTAGCCCAAATCATCCTCCGGCGGCCCTTCCACCTCTGTGTGCCGCTGCCTCGGAGCCTGTGCCATGACGTCCACCACGGCCGACGCAATATCAAACAACTTCTCCGTCAAGCCGACGCCATGGACGGTCATGGCGCGCGCGGGAAGGTCGCGCGTTGAGAGGACAAGTTCTCTCGCCACATCCAGCGGATACTGGTACGTTAGGCTGCGTTGGTGCGACATGTCGGTGAGGTAACCCAGGCGAAGGCGGAGTTGCCAGATGACGATGCGCAGCCAGAGTTGCGTGATTCGCAGATTGGCCTTTTGCATGTCCTGCAAGGGAAACCGAGCGGGAATCGCGGTGTTGATGGACCGCTCGGCAGCATCCAGTATCTCGGGAGAGGGCGACCAAGAAGCCGCCTCGCGATTCATGACGGCCATAAAGGCAGAGTCAATGGGCCGGAACAGCACCGCCAGGCTCCATAGTCCCGGGAACGAGTCCCTGTGTCCCTGTGAGCGTCCAGATCCGGCGTGTCCGGCGTCATGTGCAGCGTGATGGAGCGTCCGTAGCGGATGGCGTGGGATCGTTCCGAGGCCAAGAGGACCCAAAACAGCCTGCCAAACAGCGACGTCTGCTCCGTCTGCTCCGTCCCCGCGGGCTGGCGGTCCTTGGCCAGATGCCACAAGGCCGTGGCCTGGCGGAGGAACAGCAACGTCTGGCTGTGTCTGGACAGTCGCGTCTGGCCCGCGTAGAGGAAGAAGTTCAAGAGACAGGCATCCAGCGAAGGCGCGAGGTCCCAACAAAACGCCCTGTAAGCCGCCGAGGCCCTGTCCAGCAACCGCGTCCCGTACTGCTTGTCGTGGCGTGGTATGACGCTCCCACGTGTGCTCGGCGGCTCATCGACGTGAAGCACAACGTAGGCACAGAGGGCGACTAGCAGGACCGACGCTTCCACCGCCCCGTCATGCGCAGCGACATGCCGCTGCAGGCGGCTGATGTACTCGGGCGTCACGATTGGTATCGTCGGGAAGCAGTGCTCAAAGAAGAGCGCTGCGCACTCGGTCACGGCTGGGCTCCCCGCGACGTCGGCCACCTGCGCCCATTCTCCCGAGGGCGACGACGGGGTCCAGGTCCATGATGGACGCGACGGGCCAACGCAGTCGTCTGCTGCGCCGGCTCGCACGCAGCGGCTGCAGGGGCGGCGTTCTTCGCATCCTCGGCGGAGGGACTTGCAGCGCTCACAGGCGCGTGGGACCTGGAACCGCTTTGCGCCGGCCTGGCTCTTGGGGACGGTGTTTCCAGGCTTTCGTCTTCTCCCGTCGCTACTCATGAGATGTAGTGGCTGTGTTTTGAGTCGGACCGGCGGGTGCGTTTGTGGAGGAACGAGTTCACGAGGTTCGTGTGGAGACGACGGGATTTTGTGGTGGCGTTTCGGGTGCTTTGACTTGGAGGCTTTATGTTGTAGATGTTGCTCACATCTTCCTGGGCGTGCATCCGTGGATATCAGGTGTCGGCTGCGAAGAGTGAGAGTTGCATTTGGATCAACCAAACTCACTATGAAGCCGTGAGCTATATTTTGATGCTAGTCTACCATGCCTAAACCATACATCTTCGCCTCGTACAAAACGCAACCCTAACCCTAAGACAGTTTCCCATATCCAACCATGGCCGGCCAACAAAGTAAATGAAACCGGGCTCGCCACTGCTATTGCCATACGCCTTCGCCCTCATAGGATGAGAAAATTCCTGCTATACTTCAGCCGCTGCTAGTTGAATGTGTGAGGCGCCTTGTAGATGTACCTGATTTGGGATTCCCAATCTTGGTTGTCGCCGATGCAGGCATGCGCAAAATGTAGCAACAAGGCTTCACAGCAATGTTTCTTTCGCCGACAAGTTGGCGCATGGCTGTGTACCATAGTTGTCGTAATAACGCTGACAGCATATCATGGGACATTACGCCGAAGAACTTTGAATGGCAGTATACGTTTGAAAGCCGGCCATTGCTCAAACACGTCAGATTGGAAAGAGCGAATGCACGTCTCCGGGGTTCTTGTCGACTGGTTCAACATAGCTGCTCCGATAGCAGTGCTGATTCCGATGAAGCCGCAATTACAAGTAGCACTATCTCCATCGGATCTCCATTACACATAAGGGACTGGTTCGGCATCTATTGCTTCAGAGATTGTGGTACGGCCATTGACATCTTAAAGATTAGCTATAGATCAAGTGGACATGGAATGGGAGGACGAGACCTCCCCCTCCAAAGTGACAAAGTCGGCAGATGTCCAATAACGCCAGAAGTGTCGAAGCCTACTATGTGCTCCAACGAGACCTCCGGGCTAGGCGAAGGGTGACGTGCCCAACTGTTTGTATGTCAAACTTGTTCGTAAATCTCTAGCAACATTCGAATACGATTTCCTATTCAAGTCTTTTTGTTTTCAACATCATGTATACTATGAACTAATACCTAGCCTAAATGACTCTTGTTTAATTATGCTGAGACGTTTATAATTCTCAAGTTCCGCTTACTTCATCTAACTTTTGACCAAGCAATCACAAGCAACCAAGCTAGTTTCCGGAATTGAGATACACCCAAAAGGAGCCTTTGATAATGAAGACGCGCGCTTGTCTCTATTTGGATTAGACTTATTTCTTAGTCTGGCCGTAGATGGTTGAGATGATTGGACGGTGACCCGACGTTCCGAATAGGATAGGACACATAGTAACCAAGGCAGGATTTCAAGTGGTAGTTCTTGGGCCTGTTTGATTCATCATGCGATTATTAAACGTAATTCCAGTTAAGGACAATGCCAGGACACCTTGTCGTCTATGGGCGATTCGTGCACATAATGCATACGACGATCGTGTAATCTCATTCAGTTCCAAGGAGTAAACGCGGGCATGTACAATATGTCGCCAACTTCAAGACAACCAGCTACATGTGAGGCCTGTGCGCTAGTTATGAACTCTAGTCCTACACACACCACTTCTTATGCGGAGCTTCTGCTCAGCTCGACGCTTTTTGCTAATGCCGATGACCATGTGCCCCTCATTTTGACGCTGCACAACCCTCTTTGAGAAGTAATCGTGCATTGGATCAGTCGCAGATCTGGAATAACCCGAACATGTCAAATCTTTCGCTCACGAAATCGACTCAAGAGCTTATGCAATTCGTAGCTGGTCACGCACCATGAATGTAACCCTGGGCTCGGCTGCACGCCTATGTGACAAGGGCTCGTAAAGGGCTTGTGAATAGCTTCAGTTTTAATCTAATAGTTGTCTTTGAGGTTCAAAAGGTCCTTGGGGAACTAGGTGTAGGGACCCGGCCTTTGACCCCGAATGTACGCATGGAATTCAAGGTGTGTGTAATCTAACCTAGATGAGTGAGGCATATAGGTTATAACTGCCTTGGGCTTTCATCCTTGAAACCTATATCACCTCTTAACCGCCTTGTGTCCGTCGCGATGCATCCTTTGTGCTGATGCAGTCGATCCCTGCTGCATCTGCATTTATTGGCCGGCTTCGGAAGGTTATGTCACTTATCCGTGTGACACAACATTGGTCGGAGTTGCCAGATCATTCCGCCTCGGTTCGTCGGCGCCGTAAGATTGAAGGAAATCCAGCGGTCGTCCTCTGGATATAAAAAGATGCGATATCTCTTCCACTTGGCGCTTCAAAACAATCCATCACTCCACGATCCATCTTCACATTACTCTATTCAATCCAAAACTTTTCTCTCTCCCGAGACGTGAAAACTTCAAGATGCAGTTCTCCGTTCTTGCTACAATTGTTGCTGCTGCCCTTTTCTCCTCGGTAGCCAAGGGCTGCACTCCCGGTAAACGAGACCAGACTTCTGGCTTGTGCTTGGTAATTTTACTAACGACTCTCTCTTTGGCATACTTTAGGGCAAGCCTTGTGTGCCGGCTTCGACGACCAGAATGGTGATCCTATATGCGATAGTTGTGCCATTGTTATCGGTGACGCTGGCGGACGCGTAAGTGATGTGTATAGCAAGGACGTTGACCAAACTGCAATGCTGATACTAAAGGTAGTGCATCATCAATAACTACTGCGAGGAGAGAGATGACTCTTGCACAATTATCAATGGCTCACCTTACTGTGTCTAAGTTTATTTCAAAGAACAGAACATTCAGCCAATACGTCCGCAACCCTCTCGTTTGGTATGCATTTATAGACCGTTTCAGGGATCAATCAGTAATTGGCAATGGGCCCTATCATAACTACGTCCAAGAATATATTTGATAAGGCATCTCGAAAGAAGGACATTGGCACATATTTCGAGTTATAATCTAAATGCTCATAAAATGCTACATACAGCCTCGAATCAGTGAATTTGTGTCATACATGGACACTCCTCACGGCCCCAAAATAGTCAAATACATATTGGCAGCTTACGTTGCCGTTGCTATGGGTGCCTGTCAATCTCGACTTCTTGTCCTACTTCTCTCCTGGGCAGCAGTATTCAGATATATTCATCCAATCAGCCGCGTCCGTACATCCATGACACCTATAGTAGATTGACTGCTTGGACATAATAATCTACTTCTAGCCAATAATAGGAAGACCTTTAGCCGCAACAGACTTTGAGTCGGGGGCAACAACAGCCCTTTTTAAACGGCGCACCATGGTCGTCGCCCAGTATCGAACATCGCGCTCCGTAACATGCTTATGCATCGCCGCGTGCATGTCTTGCCGTTCTTCCTCAGACATATTCAACGCCCTGTAAATCTCATCTGCGACGCCGTCCGTGTCCCAAGGGTTGATTTGAATAGCTTCCTTGAGGCTGCTGGCCGTTCCGCTAAACTCGGATATGATGATTGGACCATGGCTATTCTGCTGACACACGACGTACTCCAAGCTGGTCGTGCTCATTCCGTCGCGAACGCTTGTGAACAGTGCGACATGTCCCGACCGCAGCAGGGCAAAGTATTCGTCGATGGTGAGACTCTGGGATTGTAGCTGGATGGGCATGTAATCCAGCGAACCGTACTTGCGGTTGACTTCAGAGACAAGCTCGCTGACGCCAGTAGCGTAGTCTGATTCTTCTGTATCGTCTGCCTCCATTGTCGTCGGGCTCATGACTTGGATGAGGACTACGCGATTCTGATATTCGGGGTATTTGTTGAGAAACCGATCAAAGGCGAGCAACTTCTTGTCCACGCCCCCCAATCTGTCTTTGGGGTCGTACGCGACGATGATCTTCTTGCCGCCATGCTGCTGTTTTAGCAGTGAGCACTTCTCCGTGGCTGTGGCCTTCCACGCAAGGGAGCGAACCGTGGAGATGTTGATTCCCATTGGTATCACCTCAACCCGCACACGCCTCGTTGCCGTCCGCACAGTTCTGCTCGTAGCCTCCAAGCCGAGGATTCTGGCGCAACTGTTTGCAAAGTGCTGGGCGTAGTGGAAGGACTGAAATACAACAAGATTGGAACCAAGAATACCTTCAAGAATGCTTTGCCGTCTTCCAAGACACCGGATCAGTTCGCTGGAAGCAAAGGGCGTGTGGAGATAGAAGGCAATGCTTATATCGGGATACCGTTCGCGCAGAAGTAGAGGTAGAAGCATCAAATAATAGTCATGAACTATGATGATATCCCCTGGTCGGTAATTTTCGATGACCTTTTGCGCAAACAGTTGGTTCATTCGGTAATAATCCGCCCACCTCACCCCTTCCGAGTACGGCTCACTAGGTGGGTGCTGTCGATAATGAAGCAAGGCACATAGATCGTGCTCCGCATACCGTCGCCATCTCGACTGGTCATACAGTTTTATGCCTCCCGAGGTCATGTCCTTTTCGTCTGCAAGCCAGACGGGAAGGATAGAGATGTCGTCTTCGTGTAGCTGTCGCTCCAGCCGAAGCTGGTCGGCGCGAGTCACAAAGACGTTTTTCGGTGGGCCTATTTGCATCCGCGCATTCCCTCCCAGAGAAATGGATGTGGATGAAGGAGCTATAGGCGGATCTTCGTCAGGCACGGCATCGTCATCGCTGTCGGACGCGTGGCGAATCTCGCCTGTCCACGCCACCACGGTGTGGTTGCAAGGACCATTGTCGGAGAGATAGTGAAGAGCGTCCAACAAAGCCGAGCGGTTATAGCAGCGCCGCAGTTCCTTTGCGTGGTCTACATTAGCATCCATGCCCACCAAGATGCGGCTGCGGGTTTGGCAAGCTTACCCAGTCCGCACCTTCGCGATATTCCAAGATGTGCGGGACTGTGAATGTGACAGATATTATGTTCCCACCCAATGCCGGGCTCTGTTTCACTTGTTTAACTCCATCAAAGTAGGAGCCCGGCCTTGGGTCATTACGACAAGTAGCTGGAAAACCCGGGAGCGTGGAATCGGCACCTGGAGTCACGCTGGGTGACTGCCGGACGTTCCTCTCGAAGTAGTCTTGGTCGTACGACTCTCTGCCTATGCCAGGTGTGACAGGACCTGACATGATAGACGGGCACGCGTGAGGCGGCAAGCGAATTTCGCCTTGACTTGGACCTTTTGGCCCCGGTAAACCCTACGCGGCGATGAGTCGGCAAGGTATTAGCTTATATAGGTCGGCAGTTGTAACGACTTACCATGTTCTTGTATGCAAGTGCAAGCGCACAGTAGCCTTGAAGTTGCGAAGTTGCTGAACCCCCTCTAACAAGGGAGGGATGGAAGCCTGCCCGTCGAACAATAACCTGTATGGCTTCGCAAGGCCATTTATAACATCGAATACTCTCGGGCGTTGGCGATCGTGACGTCATTGTTCGGCCGGGCATTTTCGCATTTGCTGTTTGATGTTGCAAAACAAGTGGCTGCCAGCCTCGTCCGACCCGATCTGATTATCTCTTTGGCCGGTTGTGTGGGAATGGTCCGCTTGATTGGCCATTCACCAGACCGTTTCTCCAATGTGGCGTGGAATCTTTGCTGTAATATCGGCAACGTTGTTCATAGCCAAGTGGACGACATGATGACTACTTTCTAAAAGCACAGCTAATAAAAGACTCGAGGCTCAATATCTATCAAGGGGATACATCTGACTACGTCACTTTCTGAGAGAATGTCCAACGTTTCACCAAGGCACCTTAGAAGTGCCATGGGGATACTACACGCGCCCGAACAGATGTTACATGCCTGCGTCACTGTCAATGACTCACCAAGTAGTCAATGCAGGACCTTTCCAGGGAGTACGGCATAGATTTGCATCACGAGCCACGACCAGGTCTCAGCTGTTGCTTACTATCCACTTCTGATCGAATTTTGAAGAGAACTCAACTAGAACAGCAACCACAGAAATTTGGTTTTTCTTGCACCCAAAGCCTACTCGTCATGGGCACACTACGGGATTCTCGGCATTGAATCTACCTTGCGGCCTGTATTTCCCATCATGCAGGGTTAATTCATGTACTAGAGATTGGGTTGGCTTGTCACCGCCTCGTAATCGTCAATACTCTGTCATCGCGCATGGTAGCTGGGACAGCATCGACAATCATAGGCCTCGTGGCGGTGAAGCAAGTTTTGCATTCTGGAGTGTTTCACTCACTGCGGGAGCACAGGACAAGCAGACCGGAGGGAATGATCCGGTAGTGGCCTCGGCTTTCTACCTGTCAGTACGTGATTTGGATTGGCCAGAGTGGTGTGCATGTTTTTCGCTCTTGCTGACAGTGAAGTCATAGCAAATAGTAAACAAGCGATGGCGTGCTGAGGGGGAAGAACTTGCGCATTGATGCAGAACAACGGCATAGAGCGGGAAGACATTGAGGCATAAGCAGCTGAGGATCTTCCGAAGCCACACCATCCTTCCAAAGGGGTCTTTTATCCTGATATAGTCAGGCAAAGGCGGAGTAGATGCAAACCACTCATTTGGCTATTTTAATTGGCCATCCGAGTATGACAATGCACTCTGGGCGGACACACTGTAGAATTACTGAATATTTCGTAGCGGAAGCTATTGACCCTAACCCTACTGCTAGCGCATCATATCACCGTGGTAATCAACTTCATTGTGCCATGGAGTAAGAAAGAGCTTGTCTACTAGGTACATGTCACTATGAAATGCTTCCGCCGCCCTAATGCTTCTTTACAAATTTACTCCTTGGCCTGTTCTGTATGTCGCTCTTTAGCTTCGCCCTTGGCCTGATCTGCTGTGGTGCTGGTGGCGGAATGTTGCACCGTCGCTTTCCACTCAGTATCATAAAAAGATCTTGTTTTCAATGGAACAAACATACATTCGGAGTCTGTCGGCTGGATTTCATCGTCGCTCACGTCACGGTCCTTGATCTTGGTGCTTTCCGTCGTGGAATCAGGCGACATATTTCTCCTGCCCGCTGCCGCAGAAAACATAATGGCGTCTGTACGTCCTTTCTAGGGAGGTATTTGATAGATGTTCAAAAAGATACACTGTTGAATAATGTACTGGTTGCATTATGACATTATCAACCACAAAGCAGTTCTTGCGGGTTGCTTTGTAAGCATGCGTATACGTCATGGATGACGGTACAGTGACTTCAGCACGCTGCTAAAACACAAAAGGACCAAGCGGTACTTCAAGCTGAAGAAAGCGATAGGAACCCTATTGGCTACGGATTGCGTACCGGCTATTCACACCTCAGGTGCACATGGGTATGCTTACACGTCGGGAGAGCGTTCTTCAAATGCGAGGAAGAAATATGGGGAGCAGCAAAATTTGGTTGCCGTTGGTTCCTGAGTCGGAACAACCCGACGCTCTTTACGGAGGAATAGAAGTGAATAAAGAGACCAGACTGGGCATTGATGCGGCGACGTTGCGCCGTTATACTCATGCATAGAGCGAGGTCGAATCAGTATACGTTTTTCAATAGCAACTAGTCCCTTTGTAAATGTCTGCGTCCATCTAGCCCTTTTTTGATCTTTCATCAAGTTAATTTGATAAATGTCCGCGTTTTGACATTCAAAAGGCAACTAGGCAAGTATAGAACCCCGGGACAGTTTGGCGGCGGATAACCTATACTGATCCTGGAACCTGAAAAGCACCCATTTCCGTATGAAAAGCCGACTTTCTTATAGGTACGAAACTTAGTATAGCTCAGAACCTTGAGCATCACCATCTCTGTCAAAGATATTCGTGTACTGCTGGAGCAGCATATTCTGGTCCAAGTCTCCGCCATTTTCTCCACGGTAGCGGACACGGGGTCCGATGTTGCCAAGTCCAAATCCATCATGAACGTTGCTCTAACCTCACCGGGTATATCGCTGAGTCTGTCATGGTCGACATCGCGTAGCACTCTGCGTGCTGTGGGACTCGAGATGTCCCCTTTGCGCAAAGCCATCGACAAGAGCGCTGTTGAAATGACCTGCGTAACCCGCCAGCACGGCTGAAGCCGTTCGTAGCCGTAGACACAGAGCAAAAAGTAGAAAAACCAGTTATCCTCTTTTGGATAGTGTAAGATTGCATTAGTGAGGTAAGTCAAGGCGGTATGCCATAGAATGGTATATGAGGAAGAAGTAAAATTCAGCCTGTAATTTATAACAAGCTGCTTTAGTTGGCGAGCAGATGCGATGCAGACATTCTCTGGGGAGCTAAAGGGGTTGGTAAAAGTCCGTAGTTGAGAGTCCTTTAACGGGCATGACATTGAAAACCGAAATAGATCGAGCACTGCGGCGTGGAACCATATGCTGCGGATTTTTGTCAGGAAGACGAAAGATGAATCGTGGGTGACAATGGGAATCTCACTGTAGAATTTGCACGTAGTGCGGGCTGTTGTCGCTTCTTGACAACGTCGACGGCAGCCGATTGCTCCAAGCAAGGAGTTCACGAAATTTATATTCGGCGAAGCACAAGGTCCTGCGATCTCTGGCGAGCGGCCCTTTGTCTTTATACATGAATGCCCGTTCATGGAGGATAGACCAGAACTGACAAATTATACATGTAATGTAGCGTCCAAGGTTATTCAATAGCTTACACAAGCCCAATAAAGAAGAGAATTGACTAATATGCGAGAGCAGTAGTCGGTTTTTACCGTGACAAGATCGGACACGAACAGGCTAGGATCAAAGTATCCCAAGAGAGGATGGTCGGTTTCCAGATATATAGAAATGGCACGAGCTGCCACCGGATTAGTGATGGGAACATGGGTCCAATTCCCTATTTCGAGCTTGTTAAGACGAGCGTCGCAAAGTGGGAGGGAGTGTGCTGAGCCCGCATCGTTGGGTCTTGATTGCACGAGCTGCTGATATGCAACACCCTCAAGAGTATCCAGATCTAGGCTCAGTATTACTGGATATGCATTAGGATATTGAGGTCCTAGCTCCATTAGTCGAAATTGCTCGCTCATTGCCGGAATAGCGAGCGGAGCATCCGAGTGCTTTTCTATGGCTTCATCGCCTCTTAATCTCGATAGTATGGCAGATACGTCAACCTCGTCTTTGAGACTCCGCACTCTACCCAGGACTTCTTGATCAGGAATTGCGCTTAATAGGCGAAACACCTCAAGCAAGAGTGTCTGAGACTCTTGCGATATCTCGGAATCATCTCTATAAGAGCACTTGGTAGCTTTGGCATCGCAAGAGGAACAAAGAGGGCGTTGGCCGTCGCACTGCAGAATCCCGCTCCAGTTAATATTAAAACATCACACGCGATATATTGGATGCGTACCCGGATTTTGTTGCGGCGGCAAGCGTTGCAGGCTATTGACACGCCAACTCGGCGACGCTTCAATTCCATATTCCTGGAACCCGAAGGTTCAGTGTCGCGCTCGTTTTTCGTTATGAGGTAGAATTGACACATAGTTTTGCATAGTTACCGTAATAAGGAATGTAATTAACGGTAGGTATGTACCTTCTGTACTTGAAGTGGTAGCGCTTTTAAAGTGCTTGGTGCGCTGGCTCGCAAAGTTCCCATCATCATCAATACATCATACTGACGATCCGGAGTTTTGACTCCACGGTCCTTCGCATTTCGCCCTTTGCTAACTCAAATGGTACATATGGTATGGTTGAAACCCGGAAAAACTATGCACCATCTTTAATTTCCATGAGGCACTTGAGGTATGCTCAATCCCGATGATGGCTGCAAGGGCCTATCCGAAGCCACTCGGCAGCTCTCGGATTTGAGCGGACGTGATGGCGTGGCCGACATCGGACGGTTCCCATTTTCACGGTCGCACAAGTCTCTTACGGAGGAATTACGTATTTATCATGCAAACACTTGGCGGTGTCAACAACTGGATTCTACCGGGATTAGACGTGCACTACAAGGCAAAGACAGGCAAGCATCTTGATGTTATGCCCGGGACATGGGGAGAGCATGAGCCCTTTAGTGCACCTTCTTGTTTATTTGATGTCTGTACGTAGCAAGTACATAAACGTATCTTGATAGATGTAGTTTATGACCAGTGGCACATACCTACAGCTCCTCCTGGCCGATGGCAGCCTCTGGCTTGTGTCTGACCTCGTGGGCAATCTTGAGCCATAAATCACAAGTTTCCTTTGTATTCTGGTCGTCCTTGCCGAGTCGAAATTTCTGCAGAGCCAATATGTCCCTCACTTGCATAACATCGTCCAAGACGCCTTGCTCCGTGTCTCTCGCCGTCGGCCACAGCGGTGTTACTCCTGCTCCGTTGGGGTCGCCACTGACGGCGAACGAAGCCAGGTACTTGGTAAACTTGGGAGAAATGGTTTTATGCAGAGCGTCTGCATAGATCCCAGCCCAGAACGGGGAGATTTTCATCTTTTCAAGGAATTTCTTTGCTTCTTGTACATTCTTGGTGAAGAGCGGAATCAGGTCAACGCCGTGAAACCCAGATTCCCGGCTCGCGAAGGCGTACTCCATCATGTATGATCTGTCCGGGTACGCTTCGAATAGGTATCTCGTATTGCACGTGAAGACTGCATCTCGGATCACCGTCTCGAGACATGCAGAGAAGTTGCCGCCATGGGTCTGAGGGCAGTCATAGAAGTCCTTGATTTCGCCTCGCTGGGGAGCCAGCGCATTCCCCGGGAGGAAAGTTTCGAGGAACCTATCAAAGTCGTCCTCGTTATTGATGCTCTTGGGATTGAAGTGGGCCGACTCATTTGAACAATGAGAAATGATGCCGGACTCAATGTCGTTCCAGTATTTGCCTGTAGAGGTTAGCAAAAGCGCCACGATATCGGGAAGTGCAAATATTATATCAAGTTACCTTCAGAGAGAAGTATGGAAGGAATCGTTCGAATCCATTTGCCATCCACTGCCGGACCAACGGGAAACAGGCCCGTCTGCCTAACGGTATCAAAGAGCTCCTGGTTGGCTTTGACCAGATCTTCCCTTTTAGCTCTCCTAAGGCAGTCGATATCGTACCTGTCGCCACAGTCGGCAAACTTGGAGTACATTCGATAGTAAGTATCAAGTCTGCCACCAGGGGCGTTATCCCATGCCATTTCAAAAGCAGGGCTCATTACATAGTATTTCTGGAAGCGGGGAGCTATTTCACCGTCCTCCCTGACAAGATGGTGAAGGATTGAGCCAGCTCCGGCAGACTCTCCCCAGGCGCTGACCTGCTCCTTGTCGCCCCCGACTTGGTCGACATACTCGCTCACCCACTTGAACAGCAATGCTTGGTCGTAAAGGCCGGCGTTGGGGAGCCCGGCCTTCTGCATGTAATCGCCGGCAAGAAAGCCGAAGGCGCCGGTGCGATAGTTGCCCGCGATGAAAATGGTATTATAGTTGGAGGCCTCGATGATGGGCCGTCCAGTGTACAAGACTTCGCCATCATTCTTGCTACCAAGAGCATAGGCGCCGCCGTATATCCAGACAGTAACCGGTAGCTTCCTTGCATTAGGTTCAAAGGCACGCACAGGGACGTAGATGTCGAGGAAGAGGCAGTCCTCGTCCTGCGGAACCTCGAAGCTTTCCGGATCCGTGAGCGGGACACGACCTCCTGGAGGCTTTGATAATCCCTCAATATTGACGGCAATACAGCTGACGTCCCCAGGGGTCTGTATCGAGTCATTGGTCCAGGTCGGGAAGTCCGATGGCCCGAAACGCTGCGGTTCTGCAGCGAACCGAACATTGCGGAAAACATAGAGCTTTTTTCAATCAAGTAGAGTGAGAAGCTAGACGTCTACTGTTGGAACTTGTAATTCCACTCACCTCGGGGTCCGTCTCGTCGACCTCGGCCCGCCATTTTCCCCATGGTAATGTTATCACCGGAAGATCTGCCGACGATGCAAGAGCGTGTGCGCCCCAAGCGGGCAAGAAACACAGCCCCAACGTAAGCAGCCTGCTCAGCATAATGGTACAGAGATGTCTGTTTTGTTTTGTCTAATTGAATTTTGTTTAATAGAATTAGAATCCGCCGGAGGGGATGGGGTGGAGGAGAAGAATCCTCGAGATGATATATCAGTACGACGACTATGTGGCTGGCTGAGAATAGTGCTGCGTTTACCGTTTTCATCAGTTTTGATTCAGCCACACATCTTTTCCGGAGGTGGCGGGTTTTCTCTCCCGTTTTACGATCCAATATTGCATGTCTGGGAGAAAATCAAACATTACAACGCTGCCCCCTCATCAGGTACTTTCAATATTAAGAACATACCTTGTCTCCTCTGTTAAAAAGCCAGTCTATACGAGATGGTCTGTTTTTCCCTCTTCTTGCATAGTTGTAGCCGACAATGCTTTATCTCTTGTCGCAGTGCCAGAGAGATTGAAAGCTCGACATGCAAAATCCACAGCGAGACACGGCACGGTAAGACACGGAAGAATCTGGTTATCCAAGCCACTTCAAACCATAACATTGCTGTTATGCTATGCAGTTAGCCTTGTCAACGATGGTCCAATTCAACGCCACCATCTATACTCCCAAGGCAGCCAATGTAACCCCAGTTCCTGCTCAATAAATAGCACGCAGTACTATTCAAGATGGATTCGGAAGTTTATCATGCGCCACTCAACGCATGACGGCATTCAGAAACTCAAGACACGCCGCTCAACACCAGCCAAACCCTGACTGTACCGAGGAATGAGGGCCCCTCCTTTTAAGATTTAGCAGAAAGCAACACATATGGAGACTGAAGCATTACTCCATTGGAACCATCTTCACAATTTCGGACCCAACTTAGTATGCAGCCCGTATCAGATCACCCATCAGCTCTCCTGAGGTCCTCCACACACATTCCGCCATTTACTAGATGCCCAGTTACTTGTCAATTCAGTCAGTCTGCCTTCTTTCTTAGCGCCGTCATCATGACTTCACTGTGTCTGCCGGAGTGGCGGTGGTCAAGGGACTCGTTATACATGATTAGCCCAAAAGCAACATATCAACCACACTACTAACAACACGATAGCTGTCATGTAAATCACTAGCTAGAAAACGAGTTGGGCTTCTGTAAGTATCTATCTTAGTCTCTAGCATCTAATTCACACCTTCTGACTTTCCTTCTATATCTAGCTCCTATTTCGCCATCTTTTACTTACTAATTCCTCTAAACGTCCCTCGCTATCTATCACACCAGCGCCGTTTGAAACCAAGAGTACGTGCTTGAGTTTTCCTTTGACCGTGGCCTCTGAATACCAATGTAGATTATCCTTCTCAGGATACGCATGCGGCTTTTAGGCGAGCGACGCTCTGAGGATATAAGTTGCCGAATAACTCCTGTGGCAGTTGAGGTTGAACTCTTGATCAAGCATGCGATGCTTCAGTTCTCGGCCAAGTTCGCCCGCAGGTGCATACGAATACACTTTCCCTTTACACCATTTCCCCCGATGCCATAATGCCCTGCAGGATGAGGCGTTCATCTGCATAATCCTCAAAACAGTCATGTCTGAAACACATGTATTACAGCTGATTATTCACTTGAATGAGCCCTGGAGCAGCAAGAGCTGACTGCACCACCGCATCCGCGCTGTCAAACGTGTTGGACGTCGTCAGAGCCACGTGGCTGAGCCCTTGCATGACAAATTTTGAGAAGGGGAACGGTGCCTTGAAGCTAATCTTGCCCCCAGACCATTTCACATCGGTGATGGCCACCGAGATGGGCAGCTGCTGACCCGTAGTGTACGTGGCGAACAGATTGTCGCAGCCAATATAAGCCTTGGCGGCTTCGGAGCTCGACACGTCCGCGGAGAAGGAAAGCGTCTGGTCTTGAGGCTCTATCGAGGCAATAGCTCCCCCATTGACCTCCAAAGGAGGGAAAATAGGAAGGTTGATATTGCTCAGCGGAAACGGGCACGAGTCGGGCACAACGAAAGCTTGCAGCGCTGATCATGCAAAGGGGGCTGGGACCGTCGTTAGGAAGGGAGATTCAGAGGGCACTTTATCCAGAAACACTCTGTAATAGCCGTTTTGCTCGCCCTCTTGACCGATGACGGAAGAAATAATTTGGACGGCGCCTGCCTGCTTGTCCTGGCTGAATATGACGTTTGCCCCCTGAAGTGCGCCCAGAACAACCGCCGTAAATGTCTCGGCTAGATTTACCGCATCCTTTAGGTTCGACACGGGGAATTGATACTGGCAAGCAGACGGTGCAAAGGCGTTGACGGCCTTGAGTGTAGACACCGCCGCAAGGGCATGCTGTTCCTCTTGCTAATCAACATATTGTTAGCGCTATGCTACATGTATTTCAGGTCTTGATATTCCTTTGAGCTTTCACTTACAGCCAACACGGTCGAGAATATCTTGACCAACTCGTTTGTATTCTCGGCCTGGTATCCGGGAACCCCAGAAGTGATGTTATGGAGCAATGAGCTGAAGTACGCCGTCTCGAAGAGTTCGTTGAAGGCGATGAGCTGGAATGCAGTGATGCTGCCGGCACCAAGTGAATCAGGGGGCGGACTACCAGGGAGTAGGCCTCCTGCTTCTTGCGCTATCTGGAGCTTTTCTTGGTCATTGGGTGTGGGAAACCCGTTGTTGTTTGGAATCGCGGCTCCAATAGAAAGGCCCAACAGGGCTGATAGAGTGAATAGCCTCGAGACCATTGCGGGATGGGATTTCACGATCCAACTCGCGTTGGCAATGTGTGTGTAATGGACTGGAATGGTCAAGTATGGCGAATGGAGTGAAGGGAAACAAGAGATTGTATCAAGTGAATTGCTCCTTGATTTTGTATCAAAATTTCGTGTGATGTATATCGTATGGAGAGTCATCTGTGACCTTTTTATCCACGATACAGTGCTCCAAACTTTCGGCAACTCCGCATCGAGTATTTCCCAGCCTCAAATTACATCACAGTTCTGGAAAGAAACTTTTCTAGAAGATGGCCCTTGTGGGGGGGCTGATGCTCCCATAATTGTTGCCCAATCACGACTTCGCAACTACACCTCAGAGTTGTTGTACGCCGTGGTGGGTTTGTCAACCGAACGGATGCGCCGAGCGGTAGCAGCCGGGGGGTAATGCGAACGGAACTTGTCCATCCGGCAAGCTTCGAAACTGCCGCTGCGCCTGAAGTGGCGCTCGCCCGTCAAACCTTATCGCCAATTTCACGGTGGCTTGCGGAGTATAGGGCGTCATACGGAGTACAGTTGAACCAGTGGTGCTTTACGGCGTGAGCCCGTGGCTGAATAAAACCGGGGAGAGTAAGCACATCCAGTCGTCACTCAAGGTCCAATCAAGACCGAGTGAAGGAGCCATTGAATGCCGCCTGTTCCTAATTTTGGGTGTTTCCTTGGTATACTCGGGGGAATTGACAGCGAGCGGCTTGCCCTGCATCGCCCCAATTGTTTTGGAAGCTCTCGTGCCTCTTGATTCCACCTTCGCAGTAGTTTTCTTCTGCATGGATACTATTTCTGGTATATGTATCTTATTATATCTAAATGTGTGTCAGACTAGAACAGAACATTGATGAAGGGGCTAATTTAACCGTCTCTATTACCACGCAGGTTTAAGTTGCATCATAGTACTATAACTTGCATCGTCAACATGGTGCACCACTGGGTGTGCAGGGTATGTATTGCCTTTAGCCTAGCAAATTAGCTTGTGTGAATTACGCAAGATACAAGTTGGGAAAGGATAAGCTAAGAGTATCCCTACTGAGTTGACACCAAGAGGTTTTCTCGGACCATTTTCTATTAGCTAGCTTAGGAAGTAAAGGGCTTCAAAAGAGCATTCAAACTCCAACACTATTAATCCGCGAAAACCTACAAAGCAAACTTAAAGTGGCAGAAGTGGGAGCGTATTTTTCTTGTTTGTTTTTGGCTCAGTAAATAGGAGGTTTGTAACATGGGCAACAAATAGCGCCCTGTGTTTTCCACCCACTTTGGCTATAGTGGCAGGTTTTTGACAATCATTTCACCTGGACAGTAAATAACAAATACATACAAGGAGTATTTGGTGCTTTTTCAAGGCCCCGCATCGACATTAACATCTATTATATGCTAGAGGCACAGGTGAACCCCGTGCTCATCGTGTCTTTTCGCTTGGTGCTAGTCAATAAAGGGCAGTGTGCTCTAGTGTCATGTATATAAATTGTAGAGCTTTAGAAGCCATAGTTGGAGAATGAGACCTCCGGACCCAACACCTCATTACGCTTAATGACACCTATCATTGTCGTTAAGTCGCATCGCGCCGTCTTATTATGCGCAGAACAAACTATCGTCTAGCAAGGCTTTTGTCGAGAATTTCGCGTTTAACTGTGCGCAGGATCGCCAAATATTCGATTATCCAAAGCATATTCAACGCGCTGAGGGAATGGGAGATTGTATTGCTCTTGAATGTGTTTGGTCGAGCATTAGGGAATCGGTGCGAATAGAATCATCGCATTTACTCCTTTGCGCATCAGGTGTTGGACAGAGCTGGACTCCCTACAAGCCTGTCAGATGACTAAGTGAAACGTCAACGGTGCGATGATGGGTTCTTTTGTTACCGTTGGCAAGTTATGAAGGGAAATTGTAGAAAGTGAAAACGAACCTAAACAACACCCTGCTAGTAGCAACGCCAATAGCCTGCCGAGGGTTCTCCCAAGAACACAGCAGACTGCGTAAGCATTGGAGTTTCGTATCAAATCACACGGGACGAAGAGGGTGGTTCAAAGACGTTTGACACCATACGATGATACGAGCACCCGAAAGGCTGATGCGACAAAGATTATCGATTCGGGCGTGTTCTTCTCAGGGCAATGACAACGGCAACGGCGGTGTCAAAGACCACAATTTAGCCCCATTCAACAGGGCTGAGCTATCCGTGACGAATGTATGCATAGAAGTGTTTGATCCTTGTTGTCATGGTTAACGCGCACGGTTTCGCCCGCACCGTTGAACAGGGTGAGACTCGTCGCTCCGCGAATCTGCTCCGAAGATCCTTAACACGCCTGGCCCAAGGAGTTAAGGACTTTCCACGGTGCCCACGCCACCCGCCCCGAGCATTTCCTCTTCGGGTCTGGCTACCAGGCTTAGCAGCTTCTCAAACTCACGCGTCGTTATAAGTGGGTGTGAGACGCGTGTCCTCTTACGGGAGCGGCTGACACTAGGGCATCTTGCAAAGTGCTAAAAAGACAGGGTTCATGGATGAATGGCCTTGACTTCTTCTTTTCGGCTCATGGCCTGGCAGCCCTACCTCCAAGGTTCTGCTTCCTACTGGCAGGTCCGAATCGGAATGCGGACTGGAGAAGGAGTCTGATGGTCAACATGCCGCCCATCTCCACGGATCCAAGTCTTCACCACGGTTGGCAAGAATGGAAATGGAAGGTTGGAGTGGCTCCGGGTACGCGTCGCGTCAGCAGTATACCCAACCTTTGTTGTATGTAATACAAAGGGGGTGAGTCGGCCTTAACGGTGGAGTCAGACCAGCCAGCGGCCCCTTTGGCTGACAATGGGGATGCTTGTTATGACCTCGTAAATTATTCAATCCTCCGGTAGCTGTCCAGAAAGGGACTAGAGATCAGCGGCCGTGGAGAAGAGGGCCAGTTCTTGACGATGCTGTTGATGGACGTGGATGAAGTTTGGGGGTGAGGATGGCTATTCCCCGATTAGGGCAGATGTGGCCGTAAATGTTACACGGAAATGGCTGGTTACACAAGGGCTACGGTCACGAGACCTAGGGCACACCGACTTCTTGTATTTATAGACACCTTTGGTCCCTCAAGGCCTTGAGGAAAACCAAGGACCTTTGATACCAAAGACTGTTATTAGATGAATTGAGCTATTAGCTCCAAGCCCTCCTTGAGCCCTTGTCACAGTAAAAAAGGGCAGTTCGCGGCACCAGTTGGCCTTTTTGCTACACACAACCTCTGTTTTTAGGATGAATCGTTGCCGGCTGCTTATGACACCGCCTGGTCTTGCATACACCTTCAACAATACCGGGCAACGATACGGTTGACTAGCCGGGGGGGAGGGGGGGGGGACTTGTGGCTACGTCTCGGGAGAGAGCTAATTTCTGGTAAAGGCTTATTTTGCATCTGACATGAAGTCGTGGGAAATTTGGGGACATTTCTGCGTGGAACGCTCCCCAGCGCTACGATTCGGTAGGCACGTTATAAATTGCACATCACCCTTTGACTCTAGCGGGCGGCGTGTCTATTGCCGAGTTAGACATCACAAGTTACACGTTAGTGAGATACGTTTAAATAACGCCGTATAGCTCAGCCATCTCCCAGATATGTATAGTGATGCAAGTCTACTTTGCAATTTCAATGTACGAACCCGGAATCAGCATTTGCCTCTACCCATTCATCTGTCAGGTTTTTTAGGCAAGCCAACAAAGCAGTTGGCCTCGTTGCTGATGCCGATCCAAGCCCCAGCAACGCGTCCTCGGCCACGAACAGAGGCAGGGGCCGAAAGGATGCAATGTCTACAGTATCTATTGTTGCTACCCCGGAGCTGGCAAGGCACGCGATCCGGGCTGTCGCCAGCATGAACCAGTACTCAACTCAGCCTTGACGGTTTTGCCTGGCGTGACTCGGCAGCCAAAGAATCCAATGTGGAACGGGTCTTCAGACCGATTGACTGTACGTGTGGGTTCCTATTGGCGATGAATCTTAGCAAGTCGCCAGCCCGGTAAATGAGCTCCCTCTACCTGTGTATTTAACACTGGTAGACCTTTCGTCTGGCTGTGACTCGCCGGTTCAACTTCGAGACGGCTTCAATGGAAGGCCTGGAAGGGAGATGAGTGTAACGTCATTGTTCTTGACATTAGCCGCAATACTTGTTCTTTGTCGGTGACCATGTCGATCATGGAAAGCATAGTCGCTTTTTGCCGCTCCCGTGGATCCTCTACTGGCACGCTTTCGTGTCGAAGTCCCTTCTTTCGACTGCGCGTAACCGCCCTCATCCTCTTTGTACTTATTACAATCTTTATATTCGTCGCAGAACCTGCAACAGATCACTCTTCCTTGTGGCTGCCGTCCACCCGTACTAACAGACAGAATGTACCGACAGCCCTTGATCATGAGGATTATCCGCCCGTAGTACCGGCGTCCAACAATGACGCCGGGAACAGTACATTGGGGTTTAGTTCCATCTACTTTATATACCTGCCGAGCCGTTACGACCGCCTCGATGCCATGTCGCTGCAGTCCTATCTTTCCGGCGTCAACTTGACCGAGTTTCCGGCTGTCGGGCCACAGTTCATCAAGGACGTCGGCATGCCACCTAGCCAAAAGCCAGGCAAGCTGCACACAGGCGAGCAGGGTGGCTGGCGAGCACATGCCAATGTAAGCATCATATCCGAAAGACGAGACTTGACGGACTCTAACGCTCTTACAGATATGGTCAAAAACGCTCAGACAAAAGCTCCCGCCCATTCTCATCGTCGAGTCAGATGCGACGTGGGACATTAACATTCGCAAAATCATGCCTCATCTGAACAACCACTTCCGAAAATTCCTAAGAAAGATCAACTCTACCAAGCTTCACAGCCCGGCGTGGCCTGCCGAAGCAGTGTTCCGGAATGAAAGCACTAGAGCATCCGATGACGACCCGTGGCTGAGCAGACATTGGGACATCCTCTCCTTCGGACCGTGCCACGAGACCGACGAGAATAATGACATCAAGCTCATCTACAATGACCCTTTCGTGCCACTGGGGAAGGACTATCAGGGGCGGGCGCTCAAACACGAGAGGGTGATTCGCCGATCGGGGGGCATCACTTGCACGACTGCGTACGCTGTTAGCCAAACAGGTGCGGTGAAGCTGCTGCTGAGGACTGCCGTCAATCTCGACATGCCGGTAGACATGGTTATGCAAGAAATGATTGTCTCCGGCGACTTGATTTCCTATTCGGTGATGCCCCCCATCATGGCGCAGTGGCAATACGTCGAAGGCATCGGCATGGAAGAGCGCGGTGCCACTAGCAATATCAACAGGGCTGGAATGTTCTCGGGACTGTTCCCCTTGTTTATGCGCAAGAAGGCATGGGAGAATGTCAAAGCCTCTGGCAGCGTTTGGACGACCAAGACGTATCATGAAGATGTTGCCTTTGATGAAATGTCACTACAAGGGGCGCGGAAAAGGGTTTTTAGGACGGGAAATTGAGAATAGGACCTAGGAGTCACGGTGAAATTCGAATGAACACGTATTAATGCAAAGCAACTACCCGTCCAAGGGTGTCAAGCAATCGCAACTACTGCACTTTCCAGGCATTAGACGCTATAGAGAAGAGAGAGCTAACATGTGCATACTTACAAGCCGGTTATCGGGGATATTCGGCCATGAGCCGTTATTACTGGATCTTTTCTTCTCCGTGACTTAATGGTCAAACCCGGTAACCGCTCTGACACCAGGGTGCATTGGGTTTCAGACTTAGGGATCGGGCGCGATTCCCCGATTGCCCCCCTTTGGGTTCCTTCTTTCCCATCCTGGATTGGATGCTAACCCGTGTGGATCCGTGTATCTCATAGACACTTGTGTGACTTTGTTTGTGTGGTTAATTTTAACTGCGATTCTTCAGGGTGTTTTCACTTTGATGGACCGTTTCGTTTCCATTTGGAGGCTTCACTGGGCTCAGCCGAATCGATTGTCGATAGGAGTGTCTAAAAATGATAAATACTCTGTTTGCTATTTTTAATAGCTCAACTACATGTTTCTTCACACAGCAACATCCGTATCCCGACCTGGCTGCAACCATCCGGTACATTATCAACTTCTGTTTTACTTGCAGAGTCAAGCTAGTTGTAAAAGTTGGCAAGGAGCCGGTGAAACACCAACTGCCGTAGTCCAATCTATCGGACAGACCCCAGGTTGCCAAGAATCTGATTTTTGCTCCACTATCGTCGCAAACGCCCCATTGGCATAGAATCCAATATGCCTTCTCTTGATGGAATTTTCGGTACGGACTAGTGCGCCTTGGTAGGCGGTTTTAAGCGCCTTGTTCACGACCATGCAGGCAGGAGTCCTCGGAGGCAAATATTAAGTTAGGGGGACGGTGACGCGAGGCTTGCGTACGTTGTACGTATGCGTACTAACCTGCATGAATATACATTACTCGATTGCTCCTCCACAGTACGGACTCCGGAGTCATCCGCAGATCTTCCCGTTTGGCGAGTGGCTTGAGATGGGTTACCATGTGGAGGCTCAAGTGGTAGATCACGTTGGCGCAAGCAACGTCGACAAACTCAAGCAACGCATTCTGAGCGGGGCGCAAGACTAACATGCCAAACCCGTGTTTTCAAACAATCTTCTCCAAGGACCTGTCATCATCGGACGGTGACCGCGGTTTTCTACAACCACCCCCCATACCGGAGCACTTCCCCGTGCTTCAGCCCAGCAGGTGCATGTAGTCTCGACATTAGCCAGCACACAACTCGCCATGAATCAATCTGATGACGTAAATAACTTCATTTCCATCTCGAAACTCTCGAAGTGGCTACGACGCTCGCAAAAGCCCCACTGTTGGAAATAAACCCGACCCATGTCGGGGAAACCTCCTAAGCGATATGAAGAGCTTTCACACGACAGGCCATCATGCGAAACATGTTGTTAAGAGTGGTGGTTCAGAAAGAAAAATTGTGACAACGTGTGACGATACAGCCGCAGTTTACGCTTGGAGCCTGACTTTCACCATAACAGTTTTAGTATACCAACCACATCTCAATAGATGACACTTGATTTTCGAGGGGAAGAAACTTTGTTTTACGGAAACCCATGTATTGTCTTGTATATATCATGGTAGTAATTGACAAATTCGTTTGGAGGTCTGTCGTAATCAAGCCCAGCTGCCTCAGCGATAACCGGTATTTCTCCAACGATATCGCCACGAGATAAACACTAGAGCAAGTACGGCGACCAGAAAATAACCCACAACCCACAGGCTTTCCACTCGTATATGATCCGCTAAATAATTCAAAAGATACCCATCTAGCCCGTGCCAAGACCGCCCTGCAGCATGCCGAACCACGAATCCCCCGTAGCTCGCGTCCAGCACACCCAGTCTATGGTTCGAGGCGCCGTACATCCATGAATACTGTCGGAAGGCTGAGGTCACCATCAGAGGACCAGTAGACCAAAAAACTCGCAAGTATGGTAAAAGGATGCGTTTCGACAACTGGCCGCCTCGCCGCTTACCCTCGTAGAGAGCCCATTGGAGGAAATCCGACCCTCGCTCAGCCATAAAGAAGTGGTTGCTAAGCCCGACATTTCCCGCGGTTGGAGAAAAGATGGCGCGCAAACCAAGATGGCGCAAGCAGGACAGCTCGTCTACCGACACAGGATAGACATCTAAATCTGCATAGATGCCTCCTTCAGAGTGGACGACCACGAGTCTGGCTATATCTGCCCGCTGAATATCTTGGGAGTATCCCTCGTAAGTCGACAGTAACCACGAATACTTGGCTTTGATGAGACCAAGTATATCGTTGTCAGTCCACAACTTTACCGTGTAATTTCTGGATTCAGCTTGAGCTCTCCATGACGCGTGGGACGCCTCTGCAGAATATGTATCGACATTGTCCGTTTTCCATATTTGATGAACCACATTCGGTATACCCAAGCTGACTTCCCGGAGGGATTCGTTGTTCGTTTTAATATTGAATCGAGGGCATGCGTCGACTATTTTCGTCGACTCCGATAGACTGCCGCAGAGGAGAAATTGGTCATTGAAACTAAGCTGGTGCAGAACAACGATCGCAACTAGAGACAGCACAAGAACTGTAACAAGCTTTCGTGGACTTCTGAAAGTGGCTCGCATTTACGGCGTTGCACGGCAGCGCGGTGCCAAGGACACCGGGCTGGATTGGATATGATGACAGGCGGTAGTTGAGGAATGGTTGTCGAGTTGCAGCTTTATCCTGGAGAGGGTTGTTAATAGTAGAAGTAATGAATGTCAATATGTCAGAGAAGAGATTGAATAGGAACGAAGTCTATCGAGTACACCAGGTGACAGTTGAAAATAGATGAAATGCAAGAGACTCCATCGGCATGTAAACCGACAGCCCCTCAGTTTTGACATAGTGCCAATGGTGGTAAGAGAATTCCAAGGGGGATATCGTACGGCTAGGGCAGGTGGCCCCGGTTCTTTAATAGCCCAGCCCCTGAAAAAACAAAACATGGGTGACCCAAGTTGCCTATATCCTTCAACTGGAGTCGGGCTCAGAAACGACACGTAAAGGGCAGGGCTATACGTACGCAGATTCTGAGCATGGATAATCGTCACAGAGAACTTTCAAATCAGGGGCGTTTTGTTTCTGCATTTTAAATAAGACACTACTTCACAGTTGCAAGTGCGCTATACAATCCGCATAATATCGAAATTGGCTGACTACAGTCGACACGACGAGCCAGATTCGCATTCATTTAATTATTTCGCTCGGGTAGATCTTATCGACGGAGCCGATTGGAATCTCGGAATTGTACAACAGTAGTGATGTATCTAAGTATTGGAGATGGAACTCTTCAGATCTCGACGCGGTGAAACATGTTTCCGTCGCCCTCCTCCCCAGAAATATGAGAGGGCACTAGCAAGTTGGAATTAGATAGTTCACTACAATTAAAAAGCTTCATACATGCCGGACCGCTTAGGGGAAGGCCCTGAACTTGGGACACTTTGTCATGGCGTCCGCCCTTGTCACGGATGGGGTTAAAGGCCCTGCCTGGTTTGTTCGAGTCGGGAAGCCACCTTGGCCATCCATTTCAGGATGGTTTGAGCACATGTTTAGTACGGTGTTTCTTGTATACAGCCGTATTCTGGCCTAGGGCATCTAATTTCATGCAGTATCCGGCCGCAGGAGATACCGACTTGCTAGCGTATTGCAATTTCGAGACATCTCTGCCACTTGTCACTGGAAACAATGCGTCCTAGTCTTCGAATTCCCAGAGAACGTCCAAGGGTTTTAGCATGAAGGGAGGGAGCCGAATCTCATGTTAATTCCCAGGAAAGGCTAGCAGAGTGGATTATTATTTGCACAGCCGCGCGGCGTGACTCGATGGAAAATACTCGCCTCATCATTTACGAATATCTCGCCATCCATAAAAAGAACAAGAACGCTGACGAGAAATGCGGTTAAGAATAGATTCCAGTTGCTGTTTTCTAGAAAGTGCTAAGCCTGCAGCGGAATGATGCCATGAGGTTACATGACGACGAAAAACTGGTTAGAACGCTACGAATTTTCCCCCCACCCATATTGTGACACAAACTCTGTCATTCTGAAAGGCATGTAATGCTTATGAATACCTCGGGAAAATGGAAAATGCTAGATCAAAGGAGAGTGGAGAATCTCGGTTGTATTATGAGACGGGACTCGGCGAATAATGACTCAGATGCACGCGGAGCCTTAAGGTTTCCCATATCCATGACCCAAACTTTACCCGTATATAATTGGTGTGTTGAATTTGTCATAAATATCGTGATAACGTAGGCTTCTTAATGGCAACTATTGTAGCCCTGCTCTTACCGCCAGACAACCCATGTATACTTGTAGAGGCTCGCCCCTATCTTGGGTCTTGCTTTTCGAAGGGTTATCTCAGTCAAGGGTTAAATAATAACCACTAGCAAGTCCACGCAGAATTATAGAAGACCGAACCATCATACAAGCAGAATCTGGGAGGCGCCCTTGCCCCCACCCTATTCAGGAGGTAACTGTCGCCATTTTAAGCGGCTTCGATTGTGAGAGCTCATCTTACAGCCCATTAAAAGAACTATTTAAACCAGGAGGAGGTAAGACAGGAGCATGTCTACCAATGTTTCCCGACAGCCCGCCCAAGTCGCCGCGTAAGTGGGTTTCCTACACTGCCCTCCGATTTCAAGTCCGAGTCTGATGACCCGAGCTGAACTTACGAAGCTGTCCCTCGCGTAGGAGGCAGGAAATATTTCAAGCTTCTGTCCTACCGGTCGAATGCTTCTCGGAACGATACCTGACTCCGATGCCTCGAGGGCCGAAAGACGTATGGCCAGATTAGTTCCCAGAAGAAATCCAAACCAAGGGCTGCTCCCGCCACCCTCCGGTGCCCACACACACATTACGTTGCTAAAATGATGATGAAAAGAAGAAAAGACGCTGACGCCATTTGTTGACAGGCAACCCATCGAAGAGGGCCGGCTAATTGTGTCGTCCTCAGGGTCAAGGTGAGCAAGCAATTAGAGACAGCGAATGTTGAGGAGCCGAAACACGGATGATACAAGACACGAGTTGTCCCTTTTGGTCGGCCTGTTGGCAGTGCCACAAAGATACCAAGTTATTCAGTAGTCTTGTCTTCTTCCGGTAAGCATCCCACTATATTCACTGATCCTGTCACCGGTCGTTGTGCAAACAATGCTGACCAGATTCATCATCTTACAAAACAAATTCTATCCTGATGGTTCCACCGCACATAACTGACGTCTCTTGGAACATTGTATACACTTTCCCTTCTGAAAACTCCGATTATGAACGAATATCTTCTTTATCGTCTTTCGTCCTGAGGTACGTACAATGTGTCTCATTCCTTTCGCATACGGGCCCTAAGACTTTATAGTTAATTTATCTGCTATATCCGGGCGGAGCTGCTTCCTGCTGCCAAGCTCCTCTCATAGTCTGGAAGAGCATATGTTTCCATCCACTCTGTTTGTAATACTTGTTTAGCTGTGAGCCGATCAGCAGGTTTGTATGCCAACATTGATCGTAGCATGGCAGTAAATGCCTTGGCCTCCTCAGCATCTAACACGCCCATTATACGTTCTCGTCTTGGCTCTTGTATGTCCTCCTCGAAATAGCGATCCCATGATGGGCTGCGGAGGCATTCAATTGGCGTGCCGTCTTCTGTGAAGAAGTCCAATTTCTTGTCCCACCTATCCCACCAATCTCTTGGAAGCGGGCCTAGAGCGTTTACTTGCTGACTTGTGATCATGTCAGGAGTCGCTAGTATTTCGCCAAACATGGGTCGTTGGGCTAGGAAATTCCAAATGGTACAAGCAAGGCTCCAGATATCCGAGGAATATGTTAGAGGCGTCCTCGGCTCAAATCGAGTCTCGGGGGGGCGAATATCAATTGGGGTGTGTGACTTTAATCTCACTTCTTGTGATGGGCGAAACGCCACGCCAAAATCTGTCAGCATAAGGTTTGCATCCTGGAGGGTTAAATCCTCCGTCGGCTTCCCCATCCATATGGCTTCGTAGACATGGGTAGGAACCTTAGATGGAAGTGGCTCTCCATCTTGTCGAACTACAGGCCGAGGATCTGGCTGACCAAACTGGCAATATAATTGTTCTTCAGAGAGTTTGTTAAAGCCACATGGGAGCTTGAGGAGGATGTTTCCCAGGTGAAGATCTACAAAAACGTCAGTCGGCGTTCGCAATATGCGGTTAGAATGGCCCAGACTAACCACCGTGGACGTAGCCCTGAAGATGAATTTGGTGGACAGCAATGGTAAGCTGTGCAGCAAGAACACGGGCAACTTGTAGCGGAAAGAGACGGATCGAAGACGCTTCTTTACTTGCTGCCAAACTGCATCTGGCCACTTCGGTAACAAGGCATTGATGTTTTCCATTCGGTCCCTCGAAACTGAAGCACTCAATGAGGGACGGAATCAAGGTAGATGGAAGCTTTTTGGTGGAATTTGCTAGACGAGAGAGAATATCTGCTTCGCTGGTTTCCCAATCGGCAATGGCTATCTTGAGGGAGACATATTTCATTCGCTGCAGATCCTGTGCCAGCCATATCGTGGAACACGCCCCGTGGCCTAGCTTGTGCACTATGCGATATCGATGGCGAAAATGGTCTCCAATACCAACAGGGTGATAGCCACCAGGCTCATACCAAGTCAGTTCTTCCACTTGGTCAACATAGTCATAAGCAATACGAGAGGTTGACGTGCTGCGGCGGGTAGTGGTTGAAGAACATGGACGATTCAGCTTCCAAGGCTGATATCGCAGCGATTTGAGCAAAGCTCTCATAGCAAAGTTATTTACCAGTGGCAAGTTGTTGCAATCAATGAGGGAGGTCGACGCCAAAGCACCAAACCAGCTCTGTCACGTGCGACCAGACCCGTGATATTGTCGGCGACTCGGCGTTCCCTGGCGCCGTCCAGTCATGGGTGACTCGGGCCGGTACACGTCAACTGGCACGGGTGCACCCGAACCCGCCCCAGCGCTTAGCTAGCATATACGGTCGCACATTAGCTAAGGTCCG